ATCTAAACCATCACCAAAAGATACAAAAAAGATGTCAAGGGACACCTGGGTGGCTCAGTCAGTTAAGCGTCTGCCTTCGGCTCGTGTCATGATCCCAGGGTCCTGGGATGGAGCCCCACGTCGGGCTCCCTGCTCAGCCAAGAGCCTGCTTCTCCCTCTGCCTGCCACTCCCCCTGCTTATGCTCTCTCTCTCTCTCTCTGACAAATAAATAAATAAAATCTTTAAAAAAAAAAGATGTCAATTTCCCCCAAATTTAATGTAGAAATTCAATGCAATCCCACCCAAAATCCAAAGGAATTTTATTTAATGGAAATTGACAGATTGATTCTTAACTTCTCATGTGAAATGCACACACACACACACACACACACACCCCAGAACAACAGCCAAGAAATGAGGAGACAATTGTTCTATTACAGTGTATAGTTACAGAGAGTAAACAGTATGTATATATAATTTTAAACTTCCATATGATGAAATAAAAAACAAAATTAAACTGGTGCGGCCATTGTTTCCACTCTGGAAAACAATATGGAGGTTCCTCAAAAAGTTAAACATAGAACTACCCTGCGATCCAGCAATTGCCCTACTAAGTATTTACCCAAAGGATACAAAAATATTGATTCGAAGAGGTACATGAACCCCAATGTTTATAACAGCATTATCAACAATAGCGCACTTATGGAAAGAGCCCAAATGTCCTTGACTGATAAATGAATAAAGAAGTTGTCTCACATACACACACATACACACACACACACACTGAAATATTACTCAGACATCAAAAATAATGAAATCTTGCCAATTGGAATGATGTGGATGGAACTAGAGTATATTATGCTAAGCGAAATAAGTCAGAGAAAGACAAATACCATATGACTTCACTCATATGTGAAATTTAGAAGACAAAACAGATGAACATATGGGAAGGGAAAAGGAAAAGAAAGGAAAGGAAAGGAAGGAAAGGAAGAGACAGGTAGAGGGAGGGAGGGAGAGAGGAAAGTGAGGGAAAGAAAGAAGAAAAAAAAAGAAAGAAAGGAAAGAAAGAAAGAAAGAGAAAGAAAGAAAGAAAGAAAGAAAGAAAGAAAGAAAGAAAGAAAGAAAGAAAGAAAGAAAGAAAGAAAGAAAGAGGCAGCAAATCATAGGGGACTCTTAACTATAGGAAACAAACTGAGGGTTGATGGAGGGAGGTGGGTAGGGGATGAGATAAATGGGTGATGGGTATTAAGGAGGGCACTCGCTGTGATGAGCACTGGCTGTTATATGGAAGTGATGAATTACTAAATTCTACTCCTGAAACCAATGTTACAATATATGTTAACTAATTAGAATTTAAATTAAAATTTGGAAAATAAATAAATAATAAACAAACAAAAGACAAAGTTAAAACGTGCACAACTCACTAGGAGAAAACAGTTTCAACTTCCAACAAATGACTAATAATTGTATGTATATATTTACTGATTTTATAGATATGGCCATCCAATAGATAGGGATATTCATTATATATTTGTACTATACATAAATTACTTATGAAAGGACAAGCAACCTATTAAAAATGGGTAAAGGATTTGAATAGGCACATAGAGAAGAGGAAATGAAAATGGCCAATAAGCGGCACCTGGGTGGTTCAGTCATTTAAGCGTCTACCTTCAGCTCAGGTCATGATCTCTGGGTCCTGCAATGGAGCCCTGCTTCGGCTCCCTGCTCAGCAGGAAGTCTACTTCTCTCTGTCCCTGTGCTTCTGCCTCCCATTCGTGCTCACTCTCTCTCTCTCTCAAATAAATAAAATCTATAAATAAATAAATAAATAAATGGCCAATAAACATAAAATAAGAGCAACAGGGGTGCCTGGGTGGCTCAGTCGGTTAAGCGTCTGACTGTTGATTTCAGCTCAGGTTATCATCTTAGGGTCCTGAGATCAAGCCCCACGTTGGGCTCGTGCTGGGTGTGAAGCCTGCTTAAGATTTTCTCTCTCGCTCTCTCTCTACACTCCCACCCTTAAAAAAAAAAAAAGGGAGAGGAACAAACTCCCTCATAATTTTTCAGATCAAACCCGTAAGGTTTTATTGTATTTTTTTGTTCTTGTAATGGCGATTTTTTTAAAGACCCATAATGTCAAATACTGTGGAGAAGTGGATAGATATATTCTGGCACATTTAGGATGGAGACTGAGATTTCCAAACCAGTTGACCCAGAAATCATACTTCTGTGAATACAATCTTAGAAAAATTTGCAACAAACTTAATGTTCATCAATAGTTCATCTATTAAATAAATTGCTGAGGATTCTCTACAACAATTTAGAACAATAAAGATGACTTTATTTTCATTAAAACTTTTAAAACACGGGTGCCTGGGTGGCTCAGTTGGTTGGGAGACTGCCTTCGGCTCAGGTCATGATCCTGGAGTCCCGGGATCGAGTCCCGCATCGGGCTCCCTGCTCGGCGGGGAGTCTGCTTCTCCCTCTGACCCTCTTCCCTCTCGTGCTCTCTCTCTCTCATTCTCTCTCTCTCAAATAAATAAATAAAATCTTTAAAAAAAAAAAACTTTTAAAACATATGTTCCAGTTACTATTGCTGTAACAAACTCTCCCAAAATTAGTGACTTAAAACTATTAGGATCCAGACAGGGTGCAGTGAGAACGGTTGGTGTCTACTCCATAAAGCTGAGGGCCTCAACTGGGAGGACTCAACCCCTGGGAGGTACTCATTAGCTGGGGCTCTGCACTAGAGGACCTACACAGGGCCTCTCTGCATGGTCTTCTTCAGAGAATGATGGTGGCCTCAGGTAATTCAATCTTACATGGTAAATCAAGGCTCCAAAAGTAGGTATTCCATCAAACAATGGGGAAACTGCACTGTTTTTCTGACCTAGCTTCATAAGTCAGACAGTGTCATTTCGGCACCTTTCTGTTGTCACAAGCCTGCCCAAATTCAAGGAGAGGGGATATAGACTCTCCCACTCAATGTAATCATATTGTAAAAGCATGTGGAATGGGAGATGCTGTTCTGGCCATCTTTTGGAAAATACAACCTGCCACAACATACTAGAGAAGAAGGCAAATTGAAGAATATCTATAGTCTGATGTCATCTATATTTAAAAAAAAAAAAAAAACCTGTGTATCTGCATGCAAATGTGAATGTAACTGGATAACTATGCATGGCAAATACACAGAAAATCATTTCAAAAGATATACTTCAAACTGTTAACAACCATTAGCTCCCAGGAGGGAGTGAGCTGACATAGTTGGAGATGGAGGAGACCATTCACCTTTCCTCTAATGGGTCAAGACTCTGCAGTGAGTTCCAAGTTGAGATGCGTAAAGGACAAGAAGTAGTGTATCTGGAAAAACTGCATGCAGCTAAAAATGGGGCAGGAGAAGTAATTTGGCGCCAATCAAACGATCCTAGCTAAATTTCTAAAAAGCATGATCAGATATCCAAACATTCAAATATCAGATTACCACTGAGGTGAGGGGAAAACATCAAAACGGATGTCCTAATACTTGAGCCAGGCAGTTCAATCTGTGGTTAATCCTACATTAGTAACAAAGATGGGACATTAGCAACACATGAACTTCTGTGCTTTGTTTTTTGTATCACTTAGCTTTCCCAAAAAAAAAGTACCTTTTATAAAGTACAATTTGCTCTCAACTGTAGTAACAGAAATATAAGATATTTCCCAGTTACCTAGATATGTAGAAACACAAGGACCCACGTTTTCACCAAGTGCTACCTTAAATCCAGATTCAGATTGTGGGTGGAACTAGAATTGAGAATAAAAGAAGCATGGTATTGGGGTAGGGTTGACCTTATTGAATTTGACCATTTTCAACTGAAATTACTGAAGCCTCTTTTTGTGTGTAGATGCAGACTTCAGTAGTTTATTATAAAAGTTCAGATTCAATAACATTTTGTAGTGAATACCAAGACTTACTATAAAACGACAGGAATCAAGACAGTGTTATAATGGATGAGAATGGCCCTATGGAACTGAACAGAGAACCCAGAAATTGTCCAACACTTATATGGTCATTTTATTTTTGAAGAGGATGCCAAAGCAGTCTAATGGAGAGGGAAAAGTCTTTTCAACAAAAGGGTAGAAAACTTTATATATATAGGGGGAAAAAAGAACCTTAATCCTTACCTCATACCTCGCACAAAAATTAATTTAAGATGCATAACAGACATAGTAAAAGTTAAAACTATAAAGCTTCTAGTATAGAAAAAAAGTACAGGAGAATATTTTTGTGACCTAAAGGATAGGCAAGAGTCTCTTAGAGAAGACACAAAAAGCAATAAACATAAAAAAAAAAAGTGGATAAATCTAACTTCAAAATTTAAAATACCTCTATTAAAGACATTGCTAAGAAAATGAATAGGCTAGCCACAAACTAGAAGAAAATTGCTGTAAAGCATATGTCATAGATCAATAGTGTCTAGAATATATCAAGAATTCCTATAACTCAATAACAAAAGACAAATAACCCCAGACAGGGCACTATAGAGAAACAAGATCCAAGTGATGTTCAAGATAGAAAAACAACCAGATGAGGAAAAATTAACCCAATACAATTACCACCCCTCATATTTTACCCAAACTCTGAATATGATAAAAATATTATTTAATATTTTTAAAACATAACATTAATTGACATACAGACATGCCCATGAAAAAATCTGATATAAAAATAAATATTTCCAGGTTCCTGGGTGGCTCAGTTGGTTAAGTGTCTGCCTTTGGCTCAGGTCATGAACCCAGGGTCCTGAGATCGAGTCCCACATAGGGCTCCCTGCTCAGCGGAGAGTGTGCTTTTCCTTCTCCCTCTGCCCCTCCCCCCTGCTCCTGCTCTCTCTTGCTCTCTCTCTCTCAAATAAATAAATAAAATCTTTAAAAATAAATAAGTAAATCATAAATATTTCCTTCTATCCATTAACCTTGTCCTAATTAACTCTTTAAAAATTATGGGTAAGAATAATTCACACACACAAAAAACTGAGTTACATATAATTATTTTATTTCACAGTCTTTTAAAAAATATAAACCACTAAGTATTTTGAAAAACACACATTGAATAATCACTTAGCAGCCACAATATTACAAAAATAAACCAGAACGAATTGCACAACAGAACAAAATTATTCCTGCTGACTCACTCTGACTAGGAACGCATAATGTTCACTAGGAATGGTAAGTGGACCAGCACCACCACCATTTCTCCACCATCAATTATCACAAACATCAATCACAGGACCCATTCCCAGGAGATCATTCCATTTATACAGAAATCCGTACAATGTATAGATGTCAAGTTAACATCTTGACTTTCGTTCTAGGATACTATTTTTCCTTTTCTCTGGGACACAAGTTCAATGGCAAGGTGGGAGAGTGACGACGATGGAACACCAAGCACATGACTGGCTCAAACCCCTCCCAGGTAGTTGGAAAATGCAAGAAAAAGAAAGTTGTATACTGCGCTGTACAATACAACAGCCACTAGCCACACATGGCTATTTACATTTTAATTATTTAAAATTAAATAAAATTAAAATTTACTTCCTCATTCACACGAGCCACGTTTCAAGGGTTCACTAGTCACACATGGCTAGTGGCTACCATATTGGACAGTGCAAATATAGAACATTTCTGTCATCACAGAAAGTTCTTTTGGACAACCCTGGATGTGGGAAGTGTTTCTTCTTCCTTTGCTTAGGCAGGATGTAGGCTGATTATGGAAGCAGCTTTGAGAAGCAAGTCTTCTCCCAGGATATTCCGAGATGGGTGGTAGAGTCACAGAAGGGAGTAAAGTAGCCTTTCTTTACATAGATCACTTTTTCCTATGTATGAAAGGGATGATCCTTTTCTGGGGATCAAACAAACTAGACTCCACCAAAAATCTGTAAGGAGAATTAGAGATACATGAAGCAGATGGGAAAGCAGCAAGGTACAGCCTTCTTTATCCTGTTCCAAACTTCCATAGACTATGTCCTCCAAGGAAGTGGAAGGTTCCCAGGGTCCTCCTCTAGAAAATCCTGATGTGGGGCAAGCATATTGGCTGACTGCGAAAGCCAGTTCTGGCAGGTGTTTCAAGAAAAAACCTAGGATGTCTTCACTCTGCTCACTCTCTGGGCAGAGCAGTGTTGCTTGGAGTACTATTAGCTGTGAAGGAGTTACAGTTTGGATGTGTTTCAATCATTATGCTCCTTGACAACTGTATTTTGTAACCAGGGCACAGACTGCTAGTTTGTTCCCCAAAGATCCGCCATCATCTTTTTTCCTTAGATTTCCTCAGATTTTTTTTGTTGAAGGCCATCATCTGTCCAGCTACAAAAACTAACATTTCTCATGCAACCTCGCAGATATGACACAGTCTGGCCAATGAGATGTAAGTAAAAGTTGCTGGGCTTCTGAGAAAGCTCTTTAAAAGGAAGCAGAATCAAAATGGTATGCCCTGTTTTCCCTTTCAGCTTCCTTCATCTTCTTGGGGGAGCTGCAGCAACCATCTTGGAACCTAAGGGAAAAGCCAAGGAAACCTCAGGGGCTACCTTGACCCTGACATCTGTGAGCTGCTTAAAGAACACCGGCAATAGTTTGCCCCTAACCTCCTAGTCACATGAGAACGAAACAAAACCCCTACTTTGTTTCAGCTACTGTTCGGTCCAGTAACTTCCTACTCTATTTCTGAGGTAGCCATCTGTCTTGATTCCCAATAGGAAAGCAAGATTCCCATCTTACTGTAAAAACACTTGCCTGAAGAATCATATATATTCAATAAAGTTCAAGTAACTTCATAGAGTCATACTAATAAAACAAAAGTATAAAAATTTTAACTTCAACCTACCCATGTCTACACAGTGCAACAGTGGAAGAAATGATTAGGTTTATTACATAAAATAGCTGCTATTAAGGAAAACAAGAGGATTTTTAGCTTACTTCATCAGGAAGTTTTTTCTGAATGCCTATTATGTTCTGACTATTGTTCTAAGCACAGGTCTGCCCTGATTGCCCACATTCCTATGGAGTAAGATGCTAACTACTCAGATAATTAATCAGATCACTATTTAATCTATAATCTTATTTTGTGTGGACAAAGTAAGAAATGTAGTGTTGAGAATTGATGTCACTGATTCAACCCCCCCCCCCGCCAAATTAACTTCAAAGATCTGCAACTCAGTTTTTAGCTTTCCCTTGTATGTAACACAGACACTTGACAGTGATTTCCTAATGATACCAGAGTTTTAATTGTGGTTTCAGCTTAAATAAGCACACCTACCTCAAAGTAGCTATAAAAATTAAAGCCAAAGTACAGTACTCTGTACATATTTTCTATGTACTGTATTAGTACCACTAGCATTCTAAAAGTCCCTAGATTAGTACGTATGAGTTAGAAAAAGTAAACATTTCCCACTATCCTAAATGGTTTAACTATTTACAATGTTAAAATGCTGGGCCATTAAAAAAAATGAACTCTTTCGCACTTATTTTGAAACTATAAACAGAATTGGAAATATAAAATGTCAAGCTATAAATGGGGATATTGCATCTATTTTACTCACCTCGTTCCAAGTTTCCACCCCTGCGAATGAACCAAAAACAAATCCTGGCACCTTGTCATTCCCAGAAAAGCCAGTACATGGCACACTCTGGGTAAATTTTATCTCTTTTTCTGTGGAACTGCACCAGATGGCATCAGTCCTGCATCTACAGCTGTGCCCTAAAATTGAAGTTCAGACATAGGAATCTACTTTATTAGACATTTCAGATTTTGCAGGTGTGAGTGTGATGTTGTTCTCATTCAACTGAAAATGGTTCTCTTTCCAAGTGGAACTGCTGATTCATTGCACTTACAGGTTTGGAAATCAGCGACACAATCAAGATTATCCTAATAAGATTTGAAGTCATTTCAAACAACCGAAATTTAGAGAAAACACTGAAATAAGAACACTTGAAATAAAATACTAGTATTTCCTAATAATTGAATTATGGCCTATTTCCTCATGACGTAAGAAATTCAACTAGGCTTCTAGCATCGCTGAAGAATCACTAAAAACCTTTTATTGAAAATAGAACATAAGAACCTTCTATAATCAAATTATATGATGAGCAGTTATTTTAAACGTTCCTGACTTTTCAAATATTTTCATGTCTAGCCCACATGCATACCATCTTCAAAAATAGACTTGGTTTAGTGATAGTCAGGATCAGAATGTGGTCAGTGGATAGAACAGCCAACATGCACAAACTGGGAACCTAGACCCTGGTGGGTGTCAAAGCATTAGATCAAGAATATACCAATAGCCAAAAAAAAAAAAAAAAGTGAGCTCAAAAGTAGTTCTTATTTGGGAGACTGGTCTTTGTTGACTTTTGGGAAAATGATGATTGAATAAACAATAGAAAAAGGCAGCTTATATATGGGGTGTCCCAGTTTCAAAAGCAGAGTGTCTAACCAAGCAAGGGCAAGGCAGGAGATGAACAGCAGCAAGTTCTGAGAGCAAATATGAGGGACCTTAATTTCCAGAGTTTAGGGCCAAGTTCCAAGCAGAGATTAAATAACAGGAATAAATATTCATTTTTTTGGCCTAGACAAATGGGAACTTAGTAACTAATAATTAGATTACAAGGAGGTTATAAAATGGCACTGGGCACAAGATAGAAAAGTAACCACCCTTTCACAGGGAGCAGAGTCAGTAGAACCACCCAGAGCTTGGCTTCATATGGGGACGGGACGGCAGCAAACTACTCACCCTGAGTTCTCTAGTCTCCTCTCTAGAAGAGTCAGGAGGGTTTAAACCTCTGGACACCAGGGGCACTGCTGGGAAGGTTAAAGGATTACAAACTCAAGAAGTCACAGAGGTGTTTAAAATAATTTACCTTCTGGTTATTTATAAAGTATGAAGTGATTGTTTTCTACCCTTGTAAAAAAATAATTGCTAATTAACTACTCCCCCCACTCATCTTCAATGTCCATATTAACCATACAACCCGATAACTAAATGCTACTGCAGGGGTGTCAATCAATTACAGAACTATTGCTCAAAATACAAGATAGAGTCACTGCAGTTGATTCTGGGATTCAAACTGGAAATTCAAAACAAGTCGTACCATAGCTCTGATAAAGAGAAGTATAGATAGATAAATAGAGATATAGAATTACATATATTTATATAAAGAGAATTATATGTATATTTCTATATGTAGAGAGAGAAATATATACACACACAGTTATACTTCATTTAAAACAGGGCTGTTCTAGAAAAGTGAAATAGAAATGTGGGAAATTATCTGAATGTCTCAGCCAAAAAAATTTTCCCATTTACCTACATGAGAGTACTTTTTCCTTCCCTAGAATTATCAAAATAATCGTCTTCCACGTCACTTTCATATTATCCACTTAGGCAAAACTTAGTATTTCTTGTTTTTATCCTCTCTACATGGTCCTTGTACCTAAAATTAATAAATATTTTCAATATTCAGTCATGACACGGACAGCTCATCCCACCTTAATGTGACTGAACCCAAATCTTCCCTTACTGAAGACAAGTATATCTGCATTCCGTATTTCAACTCCAAGGCCCCCTGCACTGTTTTCCAGAAGAGCAAAATGATTATTACAATTATAAACACTCCTCACATCCCATTCTAATATCTAGGCTCCTCTGCATAGACACTGATTCTTGCACTTAGTTAGAAATCAGTTCGGCTCCTCCAGTCCTAGTAGAAAGCTCATCGGTTCTAAGATCCTAGGTCCTAGGATCCTAGGATCCTAAGATCCGTTTCCTCGATCCCAACCTCTCACTTTTTTAGGCTCTGGGTCTTCAGAAGTTCAGTTACAACCAGGGACAAAGTGAAATCAAGGGTGGTCCCCGCTTACCATTTGCAGCGAAGGTCCGTCTCGGGTTGTCCCGGTCCTCTCCGTGCAGGGCTGCCTCTTACCAGCTGTAACTGCAGTGGTGGTCTTCAGCGCACCAACCCAGGGCAACAGCTCGGTTCCAGAACTCGAGACGACATAAATCGAGGAAAAAGCATCTGGAAGATGAAACTGTTATTCCCCCAAACTGACAGTGCCTGGAGGGTGCTTAGGGCACATTAATAAGAAGTTTAATGCTGCCCGCCAATCTTCTGGCAAATGGTCTAGTCACGTAACCTGAAACGACAGCCTTGCTCCTCTTTTTCCTGTTGCCTTACAACGTGTGAACAGTATACCTCTTTTCATCACCCCCAAGGCATCTCCCAAATGACTCGCTAACGCTCACCCTCCCGCCGTTTGAGATTCTAAACCCACCTGGTGTGGCAACTCAGCAGGCATCAATGGGGTCGGTGGCTAGAAGAGGAGTAGGGATTAAGGGGAAGAAGGGCCCCTGAATCCTCTCTGGCGCGGTCAGACGAACCCCATTTAGCGTCTGCCAAAGCGCAAAGATATTTAAAGCAGTATTTGGCATACTCTTTCCTCCTGCTTCCTGTCCCAAAGCCCACACTTTCTCAGTAATTTGGACATTAAGGTTGACATTCGATTTGGGATGTCAAATTTGGTTTGGAAGTGGTTGGATTGAATTATCTGAATGATTTAGTTTTCCTTCCTTTCCGCACAAGCTAAAATGCAGTGGGACTGGGAAGAAGAGCTTGCAGGTGCCCAAAGCCATTCCGGCTCCAACCGCCGAACATCTCTTTCTCCATCTCTCGACCCCGGAAAAGCTGAGGGTCCGTCCCCAAGAGCACAGCGCCAGCCCAGACCCCATACACCCGCCGCGCCTGGCAACCGAGCGCGCTTCGAGCCCAGAACCACCCCGAGGGGGGAGAAACTCGCCCCTGCGCAGACCCCTTCAACACCCGAACGAACCTGCCAACGCTACAACCGAGCCTGGCACTGGAACCTGGGCGGCCACGCGCACAGGGAATCGAGGTTGAGACCCAGCCCGGCGCCCGCGCAGCTCCGTGCCCTCCCGCTAGTGCCCGCGCCTTACGGGTCACACCGCTTGCTCGCGGGAGAAACCCCAAGGCTCCCGGTGCACGGAGAGACGCCCGGGCTGGAGCGCCCCGGCCGTGCTGGCCACAGAGTTCTTCAGCTGCTTGATGACCACGAAGAGCAGGAGGAAAAGTAAGAAGAGCAGGAAGAAGAAGAGCGCCAGGTAGAGCAGAAAGTTGAGCTCCCACTCCATGCTGGAGGCGCCGGCGCTCGGTGGCAGTGCGCGCTGGGCGCGGGTAGCGGCCGCGGGTCAAGGCTTGCAGCCCGCTCTCCCACCTCCGGGTCTCCTCCGCCCGCGTACGGGCGCCCCACGTTGGGCGCCTACTCCGCGGTCCGTGCTCGTCCTCCCCCAGCTGGGAGGAAAAGCGCCAAGGAGCTGGTTAATCCCAGCTCCGCCTCTCCCAGCAGGCACAAGAGCCTCCCGCTTCGCTGAGATCCTCTCCTGCGCTCTTGGGGACGTGAGCGGATTTTTCTAGGAGCGAACTTTGCGGGCGGGGACGCCAGGAGAAGGGGTCATGGCTCAGTCCCCCCTGGGGTGTTGGGGCTGGTGTTTGGCAAATGATCTTAAGATCTCCACCCCCAACATTCAATGGGTCCCTAGCCCTCTCCCTTCCTAATTAATTTCTTTCATTATTTTCCCCTGTCCTGGTTTTCCCAAAGGGGAAAGATGCCATGGCCCAGAAACCCAAAAGAATGAAAGATAGCAGTGAAGGTGGGGTCTAGAGGGCTGAGGTGACTTCACCGTGCCAAAGTGAATTCCAGTTCAAGCTGCCTTGCTCTCCAGAGTTGCAGATGCACTCAGTACAGAGTGCTCTTTTCCATGGACAACAGCTCATTTAGGAAAGCATTAAGAACAAAACGCATTTCAAAAGTTGTATTGTACAAAGCTTCAGAACCTTGACTTGAAATTGAATTTCCTTGGTGGAAAGCAAAAATAAAACAACAATAAACAATTACTCGAAATGCTCCCTTAAGTCCCTAACACCTCTCTGTATTTAAGATCACCCATAACCTATACGGTGCAGCTTGTAAAGAAATCCAGTTTATCAACTGCTGTGTAACAAACTGCCCAAAACTTAGTGGCTTAAGACAACACAAACCTTAGTTCTCTCTCATGGTTTGAGACACTCTCACAGAGTCAAGAGTTTGGTAGCACTTAACTCGGTGATTCTGGCCTGGGGTTTCTCATGAGGTTACAATTGGATGTCAGGCAAGGCCATGGTCACCTGAAGGTTTGAATGGAACTAGAGAATCCAGTTCCAGGGTGGCTCACTTAGATGGCTGACAAGTGGTGCTGGCTGTTGCTGGGAGGCCTCAGCTCTTTGCCTGGTGGGCTGCTTATTATGTGTCCTTACAACACTGTGCTGGCTTCCCCCAGAGCCAGTGACCCAAGAGAACATGACAGAAAGTGCAGCGCTCTTCGCAGCTAGCGTAAGAAGTGGTAGGCTATCACTTCTGCGATGTCCTATCTGTCCCACACAGAGCCTTACTCAGTGAAGGAGTCCAAGGACATGAACACCAGGGGTAACGACGGCCAGGGGCCATCTTGTAGTCTGGCCATCAAAGCTGCTAATGCAACATACTGTCATTGTCCATTCTGTTGGCCTCCAAATTCATTTCATTGTTTATTTGTGAAGAGATGGGAGGGGTCCCCTGGGCTGAATTCCGGGAATAAATAAATGCTGACATACATATCCCAGATTATTTACAGGTCTGCCCATAATAAATAGCTGTTCCAGGGATGGCAAGGGGTTCAAAGAAACAGGTTGGTGTGGAAAAAGCTGGGAACTGGAAGTCTCAAGGACCCCAATCTAGTTTCCACTCCACTGGTCAGTGGTCACCTCGGTTCTCTGACTCAGTTCCCTCACCTATAATATACCTTGCATACCTTTTCCCTGGGTTTGTTGTGAGGATCAAAAATGAATGCAATGTTGAATAAGAATGTGTTTTGTTAGGTAAATGTCAGATACTATTATCAATCTGTTACTGAGGATCCCCAATGTACAAAAATGTACTGTATAAAATGTCCAGGTCCCAGGCCTCTCACCAAGCACTGTATTGTGTAAGATCTCTCTCTCAATAACATTATTGATCCATCCTCTAGGCAATAGTGTGCTGGCTCACAACATTTTTTTGAAAACTTTTGCAAGGCATTTGCTAAAATACAGCTATTATGAAAAATTAAATCGTGTAAGCTTACAACTAAATAATGTTAACAACAAAGGTAATAAATACTCAAAACTCATTACTTCCACATTATTTTACTATATTTCACTATTATCTATGCACCTGAGGTTATGTACATCTGTTGTAACTATATGGCTACATATTATATAATAGTATATTGCTGTACCTCTCTTCTCAACTGTGTTCAGATGTCATGTGGGTAGCCAGGAATTGGCCACGGTAGGAGCCTTTGCCCTTGGAAATGTACGAACGCTACAAATCAGGGCCAGAGTCATTTGTTAAACACTTAACCACCACACCATGGCTCATAGAGCTCCTGAGGAAAATTTGAAGTCTTATATAAGTAAAGCAGAGATTTGTGGGGTTTTTTTTTTTTTTTTTTTTTTTTTTTACTACACAGAAACACCACATGTTCCTACTGGTAGAATTCTCCATTTTATCTAATCTTGACAGGAGGACAGACTCCAGTGAGTGCTTTCCACTGCCACCTCCTGCTGTGGAAACCAAGAAGTTCAAATACATCTTTTACCCACTCCTGATACAGTGCAGGAAGAAGGGCAGGAAGAGCCATGCCAGAAACTCGGCCAAATATCCTTGCTTCCCAAGACTCTGAAGCTTGGGAGCGGACAGAACAGGAGGAGATGTTTGGAGGTCAGATGCATTCTGGGTAGCAGAGGAGCTCTGAAAGCCAGACCAGTCCCAGGAGTGACCTGGGTTTGGCTCTTGTTACCTGCCTATCAAGGCATCCTTGATTCCTGCCCTTTCCCCAGATGTGGCTCTCCTGCCTCTCTTCCATTCTGTGAGCTTCCACTGGTTTTTCTAGTACATCTCCTTATTGTAGCAAGGAATGGTGGTTAATGCTATCTTGCAGATGCAAATATTGACCAAGAAAGCATTACCTACACACTCTGCATATATTATGCACTCATAATAAAAAAAGTGTTTGGTAGAAAAGACATATGCCATTTGGTACATTGCCATCCAGATATCCAAGTTATTAAAGGATGGAGATTAAAACACAGAGAGGTTAAGTGACCTGCTTAAAGCCACACAGCTAACAAGTGGCAAAATTGGGATGTGAACCCAGGGAGTTTGGCTCCAAAGCCTTCACGCTCAACCCCTATGATGCACTGCCTCACAGGGGAAAGTACCTCTTTCTTGTGTATGACCATCAAATTAATACCATATTTTTTTCTTTTGAGTGTCAAACTTAAGGAAAATAAATTTCAAGAAACCCATACCTTCTGCTTACTTACATCTTGGGTCCTTCCTTTGAAATCTTCAACACCAAAGCTTCAAATGAGTGCATGTTTGCCTGCAGATGAGGAAAGAGGCCAACAGATGAAAGTTTTATGTCACCAAGCTCAAACCCATTTCAGCCTTCCTGACCATAACTGTTTAGATTTTCCATTTATCTGAGCAGCTTAAATAGATTTATAAATACTAACTAATAAATCCTCATAGTCACTCTCAATAGAATTCTCTTTAAAATAATGTTGCTACAACAAAAAAATAACTTATGACATTTATTAGATGCTCCCAATGCTTTTTAGCTTCTGGTGACACACCTCATAAGATGGTCTGAATTTCAGTTTCTTTTTTTTTTTTTAAAGATTTTATTTATTTTTTAGAGAGCGAGCGAGAGAGAAACAGCATGAGAGGGGAGAGGGTCAGAGGGAGAAGCAGGCTCTCTGCTGAGCCAGGAGCCCGATGTGGGACTCGATCCCAGGACCCTGGGATCATGACCTGAGCCGAAGGCAGACACCTAACCATCTGAGCCACCCAGGCGCCCTGAATTTCAGTTTCTATTATATAAATGACTCCATAGAAATAAGATACAATATTTCTCTACCTAAATATGCCTATTAATGGAAATCCATAGAAAGAAAATCCAACCATTTTAAAAGGCAGAAAGGACACTTACTTTATATAAGAGCTTGGCTGGTTCTAGCATCTAAAAAGAAAGCCCTTGTGCACAAACTGGTAAAACAGACAGAGACTATGTCATTACAATCCCATACCACTGCCCATAAAGTTGACCCCATATATGCTTCCACTTAACACGTCGACTACTCATAGTTAGACTTTATGTATCTTTCAAGTCCTCAGTCCCCTCTTCACAAGTCTCAAAGCAACTGGATATTGCCCCTGGGCTGCTCCAGGTCCTGGCCTATGGACAGCTATGGTGTATATATCAGAATAGGGTTCTCTATCCCTTTGCCTGCTCTGTTCCTCCTCACCCTCACCTCTGCTAGGGAGGAATCTTTTATCATAACAAGCATCAAAACTATTTATGAGAAGTGATTAAGGGTAGGAATAGAAGAATTTGTCTTATAAATGTGCTTCTCTAAAGAGTCTAAAGACCTAAGAAAACACAAAAGGAAGGACAACAAAATTCTACTGTCACCATCCCCGGGTGAAACCTTCCTGGACTTACCTGTTGGGGGTAACCTGCAGAATGGAAGCAGTTTCCCCAAGGCAAGGGAAGGACAAAACTGGGAGACTAGAGAAAAAGATTTCCAGGTATCTTTCTAAGGCTAATTCAGTTTGGTCTGAAATGAACCCAAAAGAAATGGAAGAAATATTTTTACTCCATGCTCTGGCCTCAAAATGTGCTGTTGACCATGATTATTAACACGGGGTTGTTAAGTAACTACACACCTTTCCAGGTGCTCTGGACCTCAAAAACTGGGTTACAGGTAGATGGCTTCTGCTTAGATGGAATCTCCTGTAAAGCACTCATTCACGTGCTGAGGATGAGATCCATTCTCTGCGGAAGTTCCCAGGCCCTAAGAAGCTCTGTCCTAGCTAATCAGGGCCTGAATCACCCAGTGATCCTGGCAATTCTTAATGGCCCCAAATATCCCAGCACATACTATTCATGTCCCTATGACACCCCAAATCTCCTGCTTCTTCCCCATACACAAATGTACCACCATGTTCATTTCTAGGCGATACAAACTGGGCTTCCTTGGAATTGCCCCCTTATTACACTCTTTAAAACTCCTACCACCCTCTGGGTCAGAATTAGAATATCTATGGGAATGTTTACTGCTGTAGACAGCAGAAAAGTGAGTTGTTCTACTTCAGGGAGTCATATTAAGTTAGCCAAGAGTTATTGTAAGACCCCGACAATTGGATTTGCTTTCCACACCCTCATCTCTTTTCCTACTCCATCCCAAAAGAATGACTGTAGCAGTTTTGCAATACTAACTCTTCAAGAAATAAGTAAAATGTAAATGATAAACTGCTTAAATCTCACATAACCATTTAGGAATTCCAGTGGGAAGGAAGGAAGGGAGAGAGGGAGGGAAATCTAAGGAAGAAATTTATTTGAGGGGTATGTGGGAGATCATCCTATGTGGGTAGCCTTTGAAACCCAGAATTCACCACTAAGAATAATTCTAGACCCTGTCCTTGGTTTAGAATGTCTTAAAACGCAACAGAAGATGCCTAAGTCTGTCCAATATTGAAAAAAATTAAGTGACAGATTGTGCTAACAGCTAAACACTATTTCTTTAATTTAGACTCTTTCCAGTAAGTTAGCAGTAACACTAGAAAAAGTCGATGTGACTGTGGCTGACTCTAGACTTGATCAATACTATGTCATGTAGCAAAATAAAAAATCTGAGCATTATAGAGCAATAGATCTTTTGTTTAGCACAACCTCAATAATGGCAGTGGTGAAACTGTCATTTCTAATGGAAGGTCTGCGAACTTCTGTATGAGCTGATAATAATCAGAGCGTGGGCTTACAGATGCACATGCACATACATAGGACTAAAATTACACTGCCACAAGGGAAAAAGAAATTGGAAAAAAAAGTAGAATTTGTATGTAACCCATACTCCTTGTGAAATGCCAGCTTGTAAGATCTGGTGACCTCAGCAACTGGGGCCTGTATTCCCAGATCTAGGGATCCAAGCTGCCTTTTAGACATACAGACAGGCAAACTGGCAATGAACAGACTTGGGTCCTAGTACCAGCCATATACACTCTACCTTATACTGTACTGCACAATGATGAGAGTGTCTTGAGTCCAATGGCTTGGACATGTATCTTGGCTTCATCTCTTGCTAGCTGGGTAACCTTGAAAATCTTTGGTTGCCTAAGAAGCACCTCATCCCTCTTTCTTCCTTATTAATAGAATCCTGACTTTATTCAGGTATCTACCTCTTTCCCAGGTACCCCATGTGCCTTAGAGGAAACTGTATTGGGGATGTGCATCCTAGTGATCCAAAAGTCATTCAGTTAATACGATGATTTTTTTTTTCAGTCTAGGAGGGGCATATGACATAAATTGACCTAATCTAATTGAAGAAAAGTATTATCAGTTTCCAAAAAAGAAAACAAAACCACTGTAGGTATCTAAAGTAGGGAAATTGGTTAGGCAGCTGTTGAATGAATGCAAGATGCAAAACAGAGAAGTACCACAAGATTATAGTCCCCTGGGCTAGAGGTAAAGTACCACAAGATTATAGTCCCCTGGACTAGAGGAGCAAAGGGGAAAATGGAATTACACAGAGTCAATGGTCACTGTTACCCAGAGCTCATAATCACTGTTACTCAGAGCCTGTAATCTCTGTTACCATAATTTATGTCCAAGACTTCTGGAAATTGCAAGCCTACAATAGACTCTGGAGTTCCAAAATAGTCGTATCAGACAGATCCTGCTGCCAGTACAATTGTTGTTTAGGTGGGGAGACAAATTCATAGTGCTTGCTAATCCACCATCTTCCCAGAATCCTCCTTTTTTTTTTTTTTTAAAGATTTTATTTATTTGACAGAGAGAGCACAAGGAGAGGGAGAGAGAGGGAGAAGAAGGCTCCCTGCTGAGCAAGGAGCCCGATGTGGGACTCGATCTCAGGACCCTGGGATCATGACCCAGGACGAAGGCAGCCACTTAACTGACTGAGTCGCCCAGGTGTCCCATTTTTTAATTTTTAATTGTGGTAAAACAGACTTAAGATAAAATTTATCATCTTAACCATTTTTAAGTGTACGGTTCAGTGGTATTAAACACATTCATTATGTTGTGCAACCATCATGATTATCCACCTCCAGAACTTCTTCATCTTGCAAAACTGAAACTCTGTACCCATTCCACAATAACTCCCCATTTTTTCCTCTCTCCAGTCCCTGGCAACCACCATTCTACTTTCTTTCTCTATGAATTTGATTACTCTAGGTACCTTATATAAGTGCAATCATACAGTATTTGTCCTTTTGTGACTAGCTTATTTCATTTACCATAATGTCCTCAAGGTTCATCCCCATTATAGCATGTGTCAGAATTTTCTTCCTTTGTAAGGCTGAATAGTATTCTGTAATTTGGTCAAACATTATTCTGGGTGTATCTGTGAGGGTGTTTCTGGATGAGATTAACATTCACTCAGTAGACTGAGTAAAGCAGATTGCCCTCCCTAATTACTTATTTATTTTAATAATAAATAATTTATCTATCTATCTATCTATCTATCTATCATCTATCTATATCTTCTATTGGTTGCTTCTCTGGAGATCCTTAACTAATACATATTTCATTGTATGTATATACCACTCTTGTAGACACCTTTTGAATAAAACAGGAGCTTTATCATATGATCTAGATCATTAAAATAATCTACTTTGGTTATTGGTTATAAGAAGACATACATATATGTCCTCTGAAGAACTATTTCCTGTAGAGTGCAAGTATGCTTAATGCAGAAAGCCACAATACTATTTAATATATGTGAAAATTATTTCTCCTTGGGATTTTCTGTATTTAGAGAGACCAATTCCACAGTGGTTAAGGTATCAGTTTGGTATTATTGACTCTGCAGTATGCCATATCAAAAGGCCTGTTGTCATAAGTACTGGTTAGAACATAAACAGAAACTCTTGGTGAAAGAGAGAGATTCTGTAGGGCTCCACTTGAAAATACATCTGGATATTCCTTTTGTAATCCCCACCACAAACAGCCAACATTGACTGCCCACCCAAGCCTCCCTCTGGTTTTTGTATCAGCTGTTTGGAAGACACTGTGAATCCATCCAAGGAACCTTCTCACCCTCCCCAAGGAAATCATTACTTCAAACTAGAGGCTGCTGGCTTGGGAGAGACAAAGTCTCTTTCTTAGCTTTTTTTTACTTAATGGATCTGAGCATCTAAACACTAAGATGAATGGCACCATAGAGATAGCAACCTTTAAAATATTTTTCAAGAATTCAAAAGGTATAGGTTATGAATTCAGCAATAAAGAGATTGTTCTATTATTTTCTGTGACTTGAAAAGCATTGTAAAAAGAAAATGTTCAGGGCGTTTGTGAATTAC